TCTCCTCCGCATCACCCTGGTGCCATTTTGGAGAATATCAACTGGACTAAACAACGTATGCTGTTCTGTGTCAGCTGCGTCACGCCGGATCGGTTTCCTATGTTGTTGTGATTTGATCTGAACGGAAACAGCGTATCCGTGTGACGCAGCTGACACAGAACAGCATACGCTGTTTACGTCCAGTTGATATTCTCCAAAATGGCGCTACAGGGTGATGCGGAGGAGACGAATTGTTGACTAAAGTCGTTTTTAGTTTTTTTGTTCGCACAAAAAGTATTCTCGTAGCTTCGTATAATTGCGGATGAACCACAGATGTCACATGGATTATTTTAACGATGTCTTTGCTACGTTTCTGGACTTGGGAACATTTCAGTTGCATTTCTGTCTATGGGAGGGTCAGAGAGCTCTCAGAATTCATCATAATATCTTAATTTGTGTTCCGAAGATGAACGTAGGTCTTACGGGTTTGAAACGACATGAGGGTGAGTAATTAATGACAGAATTTACATTTTTGGGTGAACTAACCCTTTAAGTCTACATTATTGTTTGATTATAGTAAAAAAAAAAAACGCACTAAATGTTGCAATTAACTAAATTAATCAGGAAATGCTTGATGACACATTCACACAGAACGTTTTTACTTTGAAAAATGCGAGACACGAGGAGTGGAATGGGGGTAAAACGGGTTTTAGGTCAAGTTTTAAAGTTATTAGAACGCCGTGTCATGCGCGAGACACTGCAAAAGACTGCAAGACGCGAGCGCAAAGGGTATACACGTCTGTCTAGCACTTGTTTACATAGAAAAACAATGTAAAAGTAGCGCATTGGAATGGAAAAACGTGTTCTGTGGCCCCCAAGTGAGTTTAGCCAAAATTTGTAATCTTTACCATGCTAAAACAGACACAATTGCTCTCTCTATGCCCCCCTTATTCACATATCTTTATTTTTAATTTTACTATCTGTGTACTGTTGTTGTCTCAGAGTCTGCACTATAAGCTTTTTCTGTCACCAAAACAAATTCCTTGTGTGTGCAATGGCAATAAATCTCTTTCTGATT